ACGCAGCGGAGGGGGCCGAGCGGCAGCTGCGCGCGGGCGGCGGGCCCAGCGGCGGCACCGGCGAACGGGCGCGGCAGCAGCAGCAGGAGCAGGCCTCGCCCGAGGCCACGGCAGGAGCGGCGGCGGCGGAAGACGGGGAGGTGCAGCAGCGGCAGCTCGAGCGCCTGAGAAATCGCCAGAAAGGATACAAGCAGTTCCTCCGCCAATATGAGGGCGGCTTCGGGGGCCCCAAGGCGGCGGCGCGGATCGGATCCGGGATCGTCGTGCGGAGCGACGAGGCGGCGGCGGCTGACGAGGAGGGTGGGGGCGCCGCGGACGCGGTTCGAGCGGCTGAGGCGGCCGCCGCCGCGGGCGCGGCGCCAGAGGCGCGGCAGGAAGGTGGCAGTAGCCGCGATGGAGCCGCCGGGCAGGCTTGACGGCCGGGCGCGCGGCTGGTTTTGCTGTTGCGTCACGTGCGGATTATGGGAGTTGTTTTATGCGCTGTCTTTGTTACGCCCTCCTCCCCTGGCCCCCAGACTGAATGAATATACCCTACACTTCAGCAAGCCTTGCAAATTGTAACTCGCGCAAATTCCGGCACAGGACCGGTCCAGGGGGGCAGGGGCATGCGGTCCTGCAGCGACTGATCAGCCAATCGGCAGACGCTTGGTGCGCCAAGGCTGGTCCCTCGACAAGCCCTGAAACCATCATTTGCCGCTGGGCAGGCGGGTAATCAAAAGCAGCCAGCCGCCTACCCGAGCAAGACGGAATCCTCCTCATACCCCGCCGCGATTTCGGCCGCGCAGCACCAGGCGCTGCCGCTGCGCTCATCAATTCCGAGCTCCCCACCGCCGCCGCCGCTGGCGCCCGCGAATCCCGCCAGAAACTCCACCCGCTCCGACAGCCCGCCACTGCCGCTGCCGCGGCTGCGGCCCGTGTCTTCCCAGCAGCACTCATCGCCCCAGCAGCACGCGCTTCCACCGCCATTGTGGCCGCGGCCGCAGCCGGCGACGTCTCCCTCCTCCTCATCCTCCTCCTCCGCGCCGTACTCCCCCTCCTCGCCTGCATCGTCCCAGCCATCGTCATATCCGCTCTCGCTGCCACCGCCGCACGCCGCCACCGCGCCGCCGCCGTTGCCCGTCCAATCATCCGCCCCCTCTGCGGCCCGGCCGCCGCTGCCTGTCCCACTGCCCTCGCACACCCCGCCACAGCGGGGTGACCAGAGCCCCCGTTCCAGGAAAGCCTCGTCAGACGCCCCAAGCAGGGCGCCGCCGCCACTGCGGCCGCCGCCGCCGCCTGCACGCGCCCTGCTGGCATGCACCGCCGCCGCCGCCTGCTGCAGCGGGCCCTCACCGCCGCCGGCGCCGCAGGGCGGCCCCACCAGCAGCTCTGACGGCCGCAGCGGCAGGAGGCAGCAGGCGGAGCCCATCAGATCCGGAAGGGTGCGCTCCGCCTTGGGGGCCGTGGCGACCGGCAGGCGCGAGGGCAGCGTCGCCTTCGGCTGTGACAGCGGACAAGTTGGGCGGGCGCGCTGCTCCCGGGGGTTGACCCAAATGTCGGCCTCTCCACACGCCTGCCGGCGCGCCTGCTGCAGCTGCTTGCTGCCAGTGACCGTTGTTGCCTCGCGCACGCCCTTCATTGCTGCCGCCGCCGCCGCTGCAGCTTTCATTACCAGTGGTTTTGGTGACGGGGTGTTGTCCCTGGGCCCTTGAGCCTGCCTTGCTGCACCTTTGCCGCTACAGTTCGCAGCCGCGGATGCCTGTAAGCGCACCACGGCGCGCCCCACCGCCGTATTTCCGGGCAGGCGCGCCTGAACAGGAGTGCTCTGACCCCGGGGCGCCTTGCCGCCAGCTGTCGACGGTGCCTTTCTGCGGGGGTGAGCCCGCGGATGCGGCCCGCCCGCCCACCAAGCGCTCGGCCTTTTCTCGTACTGCTGCTGCTGCCGCTGCTGCTGCTGCTGCTGCTGCTGCTGCTGCTGCTGCTGCTGCTGCTGCTGCTGCTGCTGCTGCTGCTGCTGCTCCATCCGCCGCGACCCAGCCAGTTTTCCTGCTGGCGGGAATGCCGCAGCCTTGCGCGAGCGGACCGGCTTCGGCGGCGGTGGTGCTGTGCTGCTGTCCCAGCCGCCGCTGTCACGGACTGGCTTGGCCCTGGCAGCCGATTCTGTCAGCCACCACGATTCGTCCCAAAGCGGTCTCTGAGCAAGCGTTTGCACCCGTGACCGCCTGGCTTGAGTGCTGCCACTTTTGGAGATATGACCACCAAGAGCCGCAGCAGCTCGCCTGGATTGACTGCCAGAGCTCGAGGTTTTGGACCCTGCAGTCACATTATTTGCTGACCCATCAGCGCCATCTGTGCCTCTTTTTACGTCTGTTGCACATTTTGTATAGAAATCCACAACAGAGAATTACGTAATTTTTTATGGTATACCATTGGCTTCGTCTATGGTTTGTATTAGGCCTGACAGCATGCGCGTACAGTATGCAACGCAGCAGCGCGCTCTCTGCTTCTGCACACAATCATGGCACCAACGCGTGATTGCCAACTCACCGTCGACAGTGGTATCTTTTGTGTCGGCATCCATGCCAACAGCTCCTGGAGCATGCCATCCCACGCCTGGGGTCCAAACCATCGCCCCATCAGCGCCCCTAACGCCACCGCACGCTCGGCGCACTGTTGCACGCGCCCCTTGAAGCTTTCGCTGCATCAAGCGCTGGAAGTTGGCCTCTTCCCATCGTTGTAGAGCTGGATTGATGTGGTATTGTCCACGTCTCATCGCGAATTTTAACGACAGGCTATTTCGCGGTTGACCAAACACGCAAGCAGCAGCACGCCTGATCGTTGCGTTGTATCGTTATATAACGTCAAGTTTTGCATACAATTGGACTTGGCAGCTACCTTTTTGTGTGACAAGGGAAAATGCATGAAGTTATAAAGAGAAACTGCCATGCTGCCGGTGCAGAATGATGTCAAGTTCGAACCCTGCAAGAAGGACACCCTCAGCCGCAGGTCTGGAATCGTAGCAGGATATTCACCAGTACAGCAGCTTTAAAGGTATTTCCTGGGGCCTGTGCTTGCCATCACCCAGTCTGCCCAGGCATTTGCACACTTCAACAAATGGCATGTGCAGGAGCGAGCAGGAAGGTGCCGTGCAAACGTGTTTGATGCCCTGGAGCCCCTCATGGGTGCCGCTAGGTAGTATCTGCTGCTTCAAAACCTCCCGTGGGTTTCACAGGTGTGCCGTGAACGTTGCGCTGCATTGAACATGCACTGCGCTGCCCCGTGGCCGTGCCTCCACGCAAGTGTGCACCAAGCCGCCAAGGCCCCCTGCCGACGCTCCATTTGTTGGTTAGAGAAACGCAGCCACCTTGAAGCGCTCACTGGTTGTGTTGGGGCAGCTGCAGAGGGTCGACGATGGTGAGTATGCAGGCAGGCGATGCGCCCCCAAGCACACAGCGCATATCAGGGCAGCAAGTCCTTTGGGCTTTCAAAGATGTCGGTCAACTAATGCTGGGTAAAAATTTAAAAAGCGTACTTGATGTATTGGGACTTGGGACAGGGGAGGAGGGCGTGTGGCTTGGTGGACTGTGGCGGGCTCCGCATTGCGGGCGCTGCGTTGTTCACAAGCACATTGCACTCCAGGTGCAGCAAGACATGTATGATGCTGCGGCTCATCAAAACTTGCTATTTTGTAAGTCCTACGCACTGGTCAGCACGTGGGCGGCTGGCATACAAGCGCAGTTCCACATGCACCGTCGCGTCCTGCTGCGGCACCGGGCGACGTGGCGGTAGCAGCTCGGGCTCACGCCAACTGGGCCGCCGGCCCACACTCATGCCATTCGGCCGATTGCGAAAACTCAACACATAACCTCAAAAGACGCGTAAGAAACAGGGATGAGGTCTCCTGGCGCGGCAACCGTACTGGGTGTCGGTGCAGCGGTGGCCACGGGCATCGCGGCGGGGGTGTATGGCTACGATCAAGTTACCAAGCGTATGCCTCGCTACAGGCAGCAGAGGGAGCTGCTCCTGGAGGTGGGACCCGCGGTCGAGGGGTGGTTTGGACCCGAAATAGCCCTCGGCAGGGGCCTAGATCGTGCTTTTGGACCTTGCAGACATGAAATAATTCATGTGGAGTGCTCTGGTGTCTGGTTACCGTGTCGTTTTGCGTTGGACCAAGCTGATCTCCTGCTCCCTCGCCGCCTGCAGTATGAAAAGGCGATGCTGCCCCCCAGGAAGGATCTACAGGGATTGGAGGACGATATTGTCAAGCAGGTGCGGCGCAGCGCGGCGCGCGCCCTGCTGCTGCCGCTGCTGCGATGCACTAGGGGCGCGTGTATCTAGTCAGCATGCCTGTGCCGATGCGCGCTGCCGCATTCGCCCGTCGCAACCGCAGATGGAGGAGGGCATGCGAAAAGTTAACGGGAGCACCGTTATGATGCTGCCCACCTACGTGCTGCGGCTGCCCACTGGGTGCGGTGTCCGGTCAACATGCAGACCTTTGCTCGTTTGGCCTTGCGGCGCTGTGGGGTTCCAACAGACCTCGCTTCTGGTGATGGTCAGGCGCTGCGTGCCTGCTCAGAACAGCCTGGCTGTGGTCTTACCGGCAAACTTTCTCACAGCAAGACGCTTCATTGACCAAGCCCGGCCTGCCGCATCGCTGTGCCCGCCCCCCAATACCCGGTGCGTTGGCACCCCGCAGCCAGGAGCACGGCAGCTGCTATGCCCTGGACATCGGCGGCACAAACTTCCGCGTGATGCACTGCCAGCTTTCCGGGGAGCATGGCAAAGTGGTGGGTGCCGGGAGGTGCCACGGACTGGGCTGGCTCGCTTTGGCAGGCCGATTGCTCGGCAGCTTCTGACCAGGACTGCCGGGCCTGCGCTGGCACGTTCCAGAAGTCTCAGGACGGAGCAGCCGATGGAATTGGTGGAGGCAGACTCGGCGGAGCGTGATGGAGCTCGTGCAGATTTCGCTGGGCGGTGGCAGAAGCGTCGCCGTCAGCGGTCCAATCGATGCGCAGCTCTCAAGCACCTGTTACCGTAGTGTGGCGTCTGGAATGCCACGCCCTGCGGCTCAGGTGGTTCGAGGATGGCAGGCGGATCAGCAGCATCTGCAACGTCGCGGTCTGCAGCAGCAGCAGCAACAACAACAGCAGCAGCGGTAGCAGCAGCAGCAGATTTCATGGACGGCCAGTGACATCTCCAGCTCCCCTCCAGCTCAGCTGGCAGCGCTCAGGCCCACCCAAGCTGGTCACCCCCTCATCAGCCCGATGTTCGCCTCGTATCAAACCACCCAATCCCAAACGCACCTTGCAACCTCGCCAGGAGGGCACGGTGATGGAGCAGATGGCCATCCCCAAGGAGGCCTACACGGGCAACGCCACACTGCTCTTCGACTTCCTCGCCAAGGTCCTTGCCTTGGGGTGGTGACTAAGCCGATGGGGACTGTCGTTGACTGCCCATTGGTCTAGAGCGGCAAGATGGCGCCGTTGTGAGCGGCTGTACCTTACTAGATTGCAGCGGGCGACGCGCCGCTCGTATGGCAGGCTGCAGAAGCAGGTCCAGGCGGTTCGACCGAGCGCGGCAGCATGTGAGACGGCTCGGCCCCACATGCGCACCTCGCATTCCGCCACCAAACCACAGTGCCTGAAGGAGTTTATTGAGCGCACCAGGACGCCCGAGGACGCGGTGAGCGGCGGCGCCGCGTGGGCCCCTGCCCCGCTGAGCACACCCGCCTGCACGCTCCGTCCCCTCCTATAGCCCATGCGCTCAGGCAAACACAGCACTTGAGACGAATCGGGCGTCGCCAATCTGACGGCCAACCTCTGCTTTCCCTGTGCCAGGCGCCCCCCTCATGACCGCGCGTACCCCTGCATGTCTTTTGCGAACCTGCCACCCCAACCCCACCGCCCCCCCCTACACCAGGCCGCGCCCGTGGTGGGCTTCTGCTTCAGCTTCCCCATGGAGCAGGCGGCGCTGGACTCTGCGAAGCTGAGCTTCTGGACCAAGGGCTTTGACGTGGCGGGGGTGGTCGGGAACGACGTTGTCAAGCTGCTGGCAGGTGGGTGGGCTCATGTGGGTGGGCGTGTGTGTGCGCGCACATGTCCGTGTGTGTGTTTGTGTATGTATGTATGTATGTATGTATGTATGTATGTATGTATGTATGTATGTATGTATGTATGTATGTATGTATGTATGTATGTATG